CAGATTATCATTTGTAATGATATCTTTAATCTCTAATTTTGGTGAATATTTTGTCATTTTGGTAAAAAGTGATATTTTCTCTTGTTAAAAACCACAATCATTTATGGTGAAAAATGATATTTTGAATTCTTGTTGAAAACAGCAAGTCCCATTGCATTGATACTATGCATATTGTTCATTTCTAATGATATCTTCTGTTCTTTAATTGAAATGTGCATTGCTAACAGCGGAGCTATCTCAGCCGAGAGGCTGCTTGTTTTAAAGTTTGGAAGGCATCAAACGATTCGCAAGCAGTAATTAGTAGAATTGGCATCAAGGGCAAAACTCGTACTAGGGATTTCATTAGAAAAGTGCATTGAATAATGGGAAAATCAATATTTTTTACACAAATGTCGCACGTGCGCGGCACGACGACTATCACATTTTAAGTGTTAAAGTGTTACATTTCAGGCAAATTAATTTGGGCATTTCTTGTGACTGTAGAAATTGTTGCTACATTACCATTTCGTGTACATTTGTCACACATTGTTTGCTGTGCCTTGCATTAGATTAGAAATGCTGCCGTTGAGAAGAAACACTACGGTAAAGATAAAAACATAGAAACAAGCTATTCTGTCTTTGGTTGTACCTGTCATTCACTGCTCTACAATATTTCACAATTTGACTCATATTTTACCCTATAGGAAAGAGGAAAGGTCTTTGCATGTATCAACACAATATCCGAAAAGTATGAGCTCATTCGGCCGCCAGTGGAGCTGAAACGACTGCTGTTTGAAAAGATGCTAGATGCTTGCGTATCTGATGTAAGAGATAGTAAGGTTCCCACGGCAACATACTCTGAAAATGCTCTGAAATTAATCAAGTTGTTACAGCATTTCCTAATGGCCGAAACAGAAGGACAACATCACAAATACCATCAGAAGGTGTGTAGTTTCAATTGTGTGTGCTTGCAGAGTTTAAAGCTTCAGAAGAATAATACTCCTGGCTACGTTGCTAGCAATATCTCTTTACCCATTAGGCAGCTCCACTAACACCTATCTACAATGATAGCAATATCTCATTACCCATTAGGCAACTCCACTAACACCTATCTACAATGATAGCAATATCTCATTACCCATTAGGCAACTCCACTAACACCTATCTACAATGATAGCAATATCTCATTACCCATTAGGCAACTCCACTAACACCTATCTACAATGATAGCAATATCTCATTACCCATTAGGCAACTCCACTAACACCTATCTACAATGATAGCAATATCTCATTACCCATTAGGCAACTCCACTAACACCTATCTACAATGATAGCAATATCTCATTACCCATTAGGCAACTCCACTAACACCTATCTACAATGATAGCAATATCTCATTACCCATTAGGCAACTCCACTAACACCTATCTACAATGATAGCAATATCTCTTTACCCATTAGGCAACTCCACTAACACCTATCTACAATGATAGCAATATCTCTTTACCCATTAGGCAACTCCACTAACACCTATCTACAATGATAGCAATATCTCTTTACCCATTAGGCAACTCCACTAACACCTATCTACAATGATAGCAATATCTCATTACCCATTAGGCAACCCCACTAACACTTATCTACAATGATAGCAATATCTCATTACCCATTAGGCAACCCCACTAACACCTATCTACAATGATAGCAATATCTCATTACCCATTAGGCAACCCCACTAACACCTATCTACAATGATAGCAATATCTCTTTACCCATCGTGCTGACTATTATCAAAGAGAAAACGATGAACAATAATACGAATATTAACTGACCTCAAACTAAAGTTCTTATTCCTGCGATGTTACTGTTTTGCCTTACACATGCTTTCAAGTTTAATGGATAACCTTTGAGTATGAAAATACAGTTAAACACAGGACTGGTTTCGCTTAATGATTGTTCTTATTTACAGTTGGTAGATAGTTTGACGTTATTACTGGATGCTCTCAATGTATGGGAAGACTCATTTGGGGAAGGTGACTGGGTAGAGATGGCTCACATTGGTGTTGTTATACTCGTAGGCTTTTCTTCACAGAATGATATTGAGGTAGCAATTTTAAATATTTTTCTAATAGTTAAACCTTTTCATAACCAAATTTCTCACCCAAATTTGTCTGCATTTTTTCTTATATTTCTGGATATGAATTCTAATTTTGGAGCCAACAGACAAAATTTGAGTCAATTTTCAGTTTTTACACAAAAAATTTGGCTATTTTTGTTCCAATCTTCTGAAGGAAAGTGCAGACTATAAACTACAGACCAATTTGTGATGAAAAGAAGAACTGGAACTGAATGGATTGAATTTGTTTTTATTACCTAATATCACAATGGAATGTGTGCATGTGTACACCAAGAAATTAGTAGTTTTTGCATCTATGCCAGTTGTGATTTTTCCATTAAAACTTGTTTTAAACGGATTTCTTTTTTTTTGTGTAGAATTATCCAAATATTGCAGTGCTTGTTTAGTTATTTTTCGGCTTGTTGTAAATTTCTGATTTTTTTTTCTTCTAGTTATGTGCATCTTCAACAGCTAAACTTCATATTCTACTGGAAACCAGGCCCTTACAATCCACGGCAGAAGCTTGTTATCTACTTGGTTCAGTAGATAGAGCATTGGTGAAATCACTCAAAGGTATTTACATACAATCAGTGTCACAATCCTTTCATTGCTAGCTTCCAGTTTACTATGTTTTATTCTGTCATTGTTTATCATCTTAAACGTTATACTAGTTTTTGACTCCCATGTGCGAAGCACAAAATGGGAGTCTTTGCAGTTAGTGTGTCTGTATGTGTGTATGTGTGTATGTGTGTATGTGTGTATGTGTGTATGTGTGTGTGTATGTGTGTATGTGTGTCCGACTGTTCCACTGCTATCTCAAGAACCATACATCGGTTTTTGATGAAACTTGGTGCATAGATGCTCTGGGCCAATGCGCAGATTTGATTAGGTTTTGGTAAAAATCCATGCTCGTTAATTACCTAATTTGCATGATAATTAGCTAATTTTTAGCTGTTCTATGACTGTTCCACTGATATCTAAAGAACCACTCATTGGATTTTGATGAAACTTGGTACATAGATGCTCTGAACATATGCGCAGATTTGATTAATTTTTGGTAAAAATCCGTGCATATTAATTACCTAATTTGCATGATAATTAGCTATTTTTTAGTGGTTCCATGACTGTTCCACTGATATCTAAACAACCACTCATTGGATTTTGATGAAACTTGGTACATAGATGCTCTGAACTAATGCTAGGTTTTGATTAGTTTTTGGTAATAATCCGTGGATACTAATTACCTAATTTGCATAATGATTAGTCAATTTTCGGTTTTTCCACTGATATCTCAAGTACTAATCATCACATTTCAATGAAACTTGGTACATAGATGTCATACGACACTGCACAGACCTGATAGTTTTTATGGTAATATCAGTACATATTAATTACCTAATTTGCATAATTAATTAATTTTCAGCATTTGATATAAGTAGTTAGCATTACATTTCAATGAAACTTGGTACTTACATACTCAA